GCAGGTAAAGCCACTGCCCGCCAGTTTGAGTCCCAACTGCTCCACTATCAATCCAGATCCCTGCTAATGTGCCTGCGAAATCAGCAGCAAACAGCCCAACTCCTTGTGCCCCTGCCATCCACATGGGTGATCCAGAGGAAGCTCCTGACTACTAGCTTCAGAGAGCCCAGCTCGGGCATTTTGGCCATTTGGGGAGTGAACCAGCAGATGGAAGCTCACTCTCTCTCTCTCTCTGTAAACTCTTTCAAAAAATAAATTAATTTCTTTAAAAATAAGGGGGGGTGCATTTTATATTAGGTTTCATCATATAAAACACACTTTTAAAAGTCAAAATTGCCAAATAATAGCAACTGAATGAATCTGCTCATATGATGTTTCTATAGATAATGAAAAATTCTGCTCCCTGCTAATGCACCTGGGAAAGCAATGGAAGATGGTCCAAATGCTTGCGCCCTGTCACCCATGTGGGAGACCTGGATGAAGCTCCTGGCTCCTAGCTTTGGCCTGGCCCAGCCCCAGTCACTGAGGCCACTTGGGGAGTGAACCAGTGGATGGAAGATCTCTCCCTCTCTCCCTCCTCACTCTTTTTCTCTACCTCTATCACTCCTCTTACTGTAACTCTGTCTGTCAAATATTTTTTTTTTTTAAAAAAGTAGAACTTCATCAACAGTCATCAACAGTCAGGGCAAGGGCTGATCAAGTCAAGGGCAAGGGCTGATTAAGTTGATGAACAACTTAATATGTTATCCCTTTTAGTATTTTTTTTTGTTCGTTCTACTTAATACTTTTGGTTGAATACTGTAATCAATACACAGTTATTCTTAAGTGTTGAAACTTAACTGAAAAGTGATTGCTGTTAAATATAAGAGTGGGAGTAAGAGAGGGAAGAGATGTGCAATTTGGGACATGCTCAAGCTGACTTGCCCCAAATGGTAGAGTTAGAAACATACCAGGGGATTCCAATTCAATCCCATCAAGGTGGCATGTACCAATGCCATCTCACTAGTCCCGGTGATCAATTTCAGTTCACAATTGATCATAATGATAGGACTAAGAGCCAAAGAGATCACATAAACAAGACTAGTGTCTGCAAATACCGACAGAATCAAAAAGGGAGAGAATGATCCATCATGGGAAGCAAGATACACAGCAGACTCATAGAATAGCAGATGTCCTAAACAGCACTCTGGCCTCAGAATCAGCCCTTAAGGCATGCGGATCCGGCTGAAAAGCCCATGAGAGTATTTCAGGCATGGAAAGCCAAGACATTCTGGAAAAAAAAAAAAACAAAACTAAATGAAAGCTCTCCACGAGTGAGATCCCAGTGGAAAGAACGGGTCATCAAAGAAGGAGGTACCTTTCTCTGAAGGGAGGAGAGAACTTCCACTCTGAATACGACTTGTCTAAATATGATCAGAGTCGGTGAACTCAAAAGGCTTCCATAGCCTTGGAAACTCATGACAAGAGCCTAGGTTGATTACTGATGCCATAAACAAGAGTGTCAATTTGTTAAGTCATCAACAGGTGTCACTGTGCACTTACTCCTCATGTAGGATCTCTGTCCTTAATGTGCTGTACATTGTGATTTAATGCTATAACTAGTACTCAAACAATATTTTTCACTTTGTGTTTCTATGTGAGTTCAAACTGTTGAAATCTTTACTTAATGTATGCTAAACTGATCTTCTGTATATAAAGAGAATTGAAAATGAATCTTGATGTGAATGTAAGGGGAGAGGGAGCGGGAAAGGGGAGGGTTGCGGGTGGGAGGGAAGTTATGGGGGGGGAAGCTATTGTAATCCATAAGCTGTACTTTGGAAATTTATATTCATTAAATAAAAGTTTAAAAAAAGTAAACTTCAGTTATTGTTAATTAGTATAATTTTGCTACTAACATTTCAAACTTATAAACTAAAATAATATCCAGCCTTCACCAATGAAATATCTGATGCCAGTGTTGTGGCCCAGAGGGTTAAGCCACCACCTGCAGTATCAGCATCCCACAAGGGTGCCAATTCAAAACCTGGCTGCTCTACTTCTGATACAGCTCCCTGCTAATGGCCTGGAAAAAGCAGAAGAAGGCCCAAGTCCTTGGGCTTCTACCACTCAGGTGAGAGCCTTGAAGAAGCACCTGGTTCCTGGCCTCAGCCTGGCACAGCCCCAGCCACTGCAGCCATTTGGGGAGTGAACCAGCAGGTGGAAAATCTCTCCCCCCCCCCTCTCTTTTTCTGTCTCTGTAATTCTGCCTTTCAAATAAATAAATTTAAAAAAAAAGGTAGTGACAGACAGGAAGGGAACCAGCTGATGGAAGATGTCTGTCTGTCTAGGCCAGGCCAGGCCAAAGTCAGGTCATCCTGGTTTCCTACATGGATGGCAGACTTCAGTCCCTGAGCCATCATATACTGCCTCTCCAGGTACATTAGTCAGAAGTTGAATGGCACCATCACAAACAGCAGCTTAACCTGCTGCATCCCACGGCAGGCCCCAAAATCAATTTAAATGACCTGGTATTCTAAATAAAACTGCAAAATTTTTAGTTCCTTTTATGTCAGGTACATTCTTAATTTTTAACAGTAGAGTTCTGTAAATGAAAATTGAATACAGATGGCCCCTAATTTATATTGGTTCAGCTTCTGATTTTTCAACTCTATGATGGTGTAAGAACCATTTATTCAGGAGAAACCATAGTTCAAATTTTGAACTTGTATCCTTCCCCAGGCTAGCAATATGTGGTATGGTACTCTCCTGTGATGCTGGGCAACAGCAATGAACCATGGCTCCATCCAGATTATGAGGGTAAACAACCAATATTTTATAGCGCAGAGTTACTAAGCTATGGTGCTCAGTTGGTTTAGTGTACTGAATGCAATTTTGAATTACAGTATTTTGACGTTACAATGGTGTTGCCATAACTGCATTGTAAGTTGTGGGACATCTGTAATTCTGAAAGGCCAATGACAGACACATCTATTGACACGTTTACTTTCTTCCTCTACAACTATAGTTCCTTCTCTTGTCTTTCCCCTCTATAAACTCCTCTAGAATTTCTAATCAAATCACTCAAGCTAAAACTTCACTTACGCTATCTTTACTACATTCCATTATAATATTATGACTACTAACTTTGTCTTTCCAATCATATTTTAAAGTTTTAAAGTAAGCCCTCTGTATCCATAAGTTCCACATCCAAGGACTGAACCAAACACAAATCAAAAATAAAAAGTGTCTGTGCTGAACATGTAAAGTTTTTCCTTTGTCATTGTTGCCCAAACAATACAGCATAACAACTATTCACACTGTATTACGTTTTTTTTTTAAGTAATCTAGAGATGATTTAAAGCAGATGGGAGTGGGGCCAGTGTTGTGGCATAGTGGGTAAAGCCACTGACGATGAGGCAGCATTTCATATGAGCATTTGTTCATGTCCCAGCTGCTCCACTTCCAATCCAGCTCCCTGCTAATGGCCTAGGAAAAGTGGCAGAAAATGGCCCCTGTCACCCATGTGGGAGACCCTGATGAAGCTCCTGGTTCCTGGCTTCTGTCTGGCCCAGCCCTGGCTGTTTTGGCCATCTGGAGGAGTGTGGCCATCTGGGGGAGTGAACCAGTGGATGGAAGATCTCTGTCTCTCCCTTTCTCCCTGTAACTCTTTGTTTCTATTTATTTATTTATTCATTCATTCATTCATTTTGACAGGCAGAGTGGACAGTGAGAGAGAGAGAGAGAAAGAGAGAAAGGTCTTCCTTTGCCATTGGTTCACCCCCGAACGGCTGCTGCGGCCAGCGCACCGTGCTGATCCGAAGCCAGGAGCTAGGTGTTTCCTCCTGGTCTCCCATGGGGTGCAGGGCCCAAGCACTTGGGTCATCCTCCACTGCCTTCCCGGGCCACAGCAGAAAGCTGGACTGGAAGAGGAGCAATCAGGACAGAATCCGGCGCCCCGACTGGGACTAGAACCCGGTGTGCTGGCGCCGCAGGTGGAGGATTAGCCTATTGAGCTGCGCTGGCCTGTAACTCTTTCAAAATAAGTAAATCTTAAAAAAAAAAAAAGAAAAGAAAGGAAAAGGAAAAGGAAAGGAAAGGAAAGGAAAGGTTACAAGCAAATGCCATTTTACATAAGAGATTCCAGAATATGTACATTTTGAATGGTCCTAGAACCAATCCCCTGGGATACAGACAACTTTATTCAGAAAAGAAAGGAATGGTTTCATGTGATCCACATCTATTCAAAAACAGCCAACCTCAAAAAAAAAAAAAAAATAAGTACTTGTAAGCACACACTTCATTTTCAAGAGATTTCAAAATCCCTCAAATCACTATGTCCAAATAGTTTTAATCAAATTAACAATATTACTGATGCTTAAGAAAAGAAAGAATACTAAGCAAAAAGTTTTTAATTGGCTTTTTTCACATAGGTGAGATATAATTTGAAACTCAATTTCAAATGGTTTCAGCTATTGAGTATCCTGATATTAACACTCTAATAAACCAATAGTAGCATATTATTACTAGAAATAAAAAGCTTCAACTTGAGCCAGAAACCACCACCATAATAATAATGATAGTATGTAACATTTACTAAATCTCAACTACATACTAGGTACCATTACAAGTATTCACTTAAATCTTATAAAAACCTTGGAAGAATAACATCACATTTTAAAGATGTAGATAATGAAGCAACTGAAATAACTTGTACAGAATTACATACATGACAAGATACAAATCTAAGAAGTCTAGGCACAAAACTCACTATTACCCATCATGCTCTCCTGCTTTTCTCTGCCAAACTAGCAGATAAAAAATATTCCTTAATGCGATTCTTAAAATGCAGTTTTTCCTACCAATGAAACAATTCTGTAGAAACAAAAACTAGCAAATTTGTTCCTTAACTGAATGAAAAAAAATCATACTGCACTTCTTTAGTATTTACATATCAACGTGTATTAAAGAAAAATCATACAGGAAAAAATTTTACACAAACTATATGTACTACATGTATTTACCTGGCAAAAACTTCAATGTTTGCAGTATCTGTCTTTCCTGAGAGAAATCCACCATTAAATGAGTCATGTTGTCACTGACCTTTGGTTTCAAAGAAAGGCGAAAGGCTGAAGCCATTGTGACTCTATGGTAAACACAAAAATACTATTTAAAATGAAATAATGGGAATATCAAGTCATTTAATTTATAAAGTGAAAGCTAGAGATTATTTCACTCTACTAATTTCAGAGACTATACAAAGGTAAAAAGTCTAAGAGAAATGTATATTTGAATATAACTTTTAGTAACTTTTCTCTAGCAAGTTTTTAAAAATTTCATATTTATGCAAATATCAAAAGGAACAAATATCCAATACAAATCATCTTTACCAGACCCATTATTCATCTGACCCTCTGTACACTCAATCTACTGACTTCCTGATGCCAGCCTCACTCCTTTTCACATGCCAAATAATGAACTGTACATACACCTGACTGAAACATTTTCCCCCTGGTAGTCTTAACTACCCCTGAAGCTTCAAACAGGAGTAGAGACAGATTACTCTAAAAATGAACAGCTTGGTATCTGCTAAAGATAGGCCACGGGTGAGAAAGGAGAGGGTTAAATTAATATCAGTGACTATCATGCTAGTAGGTATCACTCTTATCTATCAACATCAGTTACAAGGAATAATGAGAAACAGCTCTGTGAAACTATATGCCACAGAAATAGCAGCCAAGATATCTATTAGATGAATGTAGAATTAAAAAAAAAGAATAAAACCAAACCAGACCTCACCTTTTCTAAAGTATGGAGAAATTACAATCAGTTAAAACAAGGATTAAAAGAAACTCTCTTACTCTATTGTGATTTTATATCAAATTTCCATGTTTTGTACTACAGTGAATTTCCACAAGTTGTCATAAAATAAGTGCCTTACTCTATTTGGTCAAAGAATGATCCAGAAATATTATTCATGAAAGCTGTCTCATGGTACACAACTGGGAATAGGAAGTAAATAAGAGCTCAAGGGACAATGGCTAGTCAATCGTTGTATTATCTACTCTACAGATCAATGGACGGAAGGTGTCAAACTTGCTGTACTCACTTATTTTGAAATGAAAGATGTCAAAATTGTGCTGGATTTTGTTATTTCATAAAACTTGGAATCATTTAATAGTAATGATTAAATAATTAATCTACTTATCAAGAAGAAAGTGCTATGCTGAAATACAATGTACAGGAAAAGAATTCACCCTTACTGTACATGTGGTATTGCAAGGATACTGCTAAATATTTCACACGTATGACAGTAAGCTGTTGGTTCTCAAACAATGAAATTCCAATCATTGATAAGAAGTTAGGAACACACGCTAAATCTTACATATGCTGTTCTTTGTTTTAATTCTAGGATTTTTATTTCTAACTAATTTTCCAAGGAAATTACACAATTAACTTCTTTAGGAAGATGCTAAACTATTTTTCAAGAACTATAGAAACATTTAAGGAGAATTCATATTGTAAGGCAATTTAACAAGAAATGTTGTCTTTTTTAAAAAAAAATTTACATCATGGTCAAACGATTTATTTAGTGGAGCATGTTCTTTGTAGCCCGAAGTATCTTTTGATTTGACAACTTCTGATAAAGCTTCTTTCAGATAGGTAACTAATAAACGCTCACAGCATCAGTTAATGGTTTCCTCTAAGCCTAACCAACTATCTTAATGTTTATGGAGAAAGGAGAGAGTGTAAATCTGAAAACAGAAAAAAATCTGCAAATTTGATTCAATCACTATGACCACAAAGAAAAAGAATGACCCCCCAAAATGGCATTAAAAAGGTTTATCAAAGCCTAAAAATCAATAACCTTTATTTTCTATTCCATTAAAATTTAAGTTTTTAGGGCCAGTGCTATGGCATAACAGGTAAAGCCACCACCTATAGTGCTGGCATCCCATATGGGCGCTGATTCTAGTCTTAGCTGTTCCACTTCCGATCCAGCTCTCTGCTATGGCCTCAGAAAGCAGTGGAAGATGGCCCAAGTCTTGGGCCTCTGTACCCATGTGGGAGACCTGAAGGAAGCTCCTGACTCCTGGCTTCAGATCAGCACAGCTCCAGCTGTTGTGGTCTCTCTCTCTCTCTGTCTTCCAAATAAATAAATAAATCTTTAAAAAAATTAAGCTTTCATGAATCATTTTAGATGTGCAATAATGCTGTCATCTTTCTAAAGATTGACATTTTATTTTTAAACTGAATATATAGATTAATGTTACTCAAAGTCCTAATTAAGAATCTAAAACTCGCAAATGATTCTCTAATACAGATTTCAGGTGGTTAGGTATACTTTAACTCATTTTAACTTTCTGGATATTTCAAATACAAATTCAATTCAAGGATTCCTTCCTCCTAGTCTTATTTTTGTAAACAGAAAATAACTACAAAACATACAAACTCATTTAATTTCCTCAAATTACCTAATTAACTTGACTTCTACCTTCATGTTCCCTCTCTTCCAAGAACTAATAATTCCTACAATATACAACTAATTGATTTTCAATATTACGAGGTACCCAGAAGTATACACCAGTGATTTTTAAAGATATAGAAATGTGCTATGTATTATCTTCTCATTTCTGCCTTTAGTTTTCCTGCTCTTGTAGTTTCTCTGCCTAACTTCTATGACAGCAAATAATTAATACCGGGTTTTCACAGATATCTGTTAATATCTGATTTCCTACTCACATTCATTATACACTCTGTCTCATGAAATCCATCTCTGCCATTATGTAAGAGAATAATCCTTTCTTCACTTGGTAAAAATAATTATTTTATTATGACCATATGTTTCAATTATTTTTACATTACAAATGACATTGATGGAATCCTAAAAAGCTCACTTCCTGGGAGAACACCTAAAAACTACATCAAAAATACTTATATGTTATGAAGTTAAAAACTAAGTTTAAAAAATTAAGCCAATGCCAGGCATTTGGCCTAACAGTTAACATGCCCACCTCCCACACTGGAATGCTGGATCTGATTCCTGCCTCTAGCTTCTGTTTCCAGCTTCCTGCCAGGACTCAACTGAGGGATATCAAGTAATGGTGTAAGAAGCTGGGTACCAACTACCTCTGTGGGAAAACTGAGTTGTTAGATCCTGGCTTTGGTTCAACCCAGTCTTGGTCACTGTAAGGCATTTGGGGGAATGAAACTGTGGACAGGAACTGCCTCTATTTTGTCTCTGTCTCCTTGTTTCTCAAATAATGAGGGAGAAAAGAAAGCCAAAATGAGAAATGTTCCTCAGGCAAGAAGTAAAAATTCTGTCAGCAGGCACACACAAAGTAAGTGCAGGTTTTGAACAAAACAAATTAAAATACGGTGCCCTGGCAGTAATAAGGAACCCTACCTCTTGTGGTCACCTGGATACTGATGAAATCAAGCCACAAGGCTGGCTTAGGAGGCAAAAAAGCCAAGCTTCAGAGAATATGGTCATAAAAGTAAATTCTGACAAACCAATCTGGACAAAGAGAAAGAGGTCAGGGACGAGGACTGGAATCTGTGAAGCAAAGAGCCATACAGAATCTTAAAGGAGAGAGAAAAGATTTTACAAGGTGTCTCACAGGGTTTTTGGACAGCCCAGAGACTGATGATGAAATAATTTTTAATCTGAAAACCAGGAACCAAGGAAGATGTAGTAGAATAGGTATCTAAACAACAAGTATAATCCACCCAGGGTGGAAGAAGGATTAACTGACAACAAATTCCATCAGTTACAACTCAAATCTGCTTTATCCAAAAAATTGGCCTAAGCATCTATTCCACACACAGCCAATATTTTTCACCTTCAAACTCACAATCTTCTTTCTACATTCAGTATTTTTAAGACCCACATCTTTACTGCTTGATATGATATACAAAAATATTAAAATTAATATTTGTGTTAAGAATGCTGTGACTACCATGTGAATTCTGCCACTGCTCAAATAAAAGACTATAGGAAAACACAGAATTGAAGTTTTCAGTCAAGATTAACAGTAGAGATGCTAGTTTACACATAATAATAATGAATATTTTATGAATTGTGTGATAAAGAATAATTTAATCTAGGATTCAGAGTGGTGCTTTGTAAAACAACATCTTTCAGAGAAACTAATGATCTTCAGATGGAAAAAAGCTTAAGTTTCAATCCTCAGTGACTAGACAGGTCAAACCTGTTCCTTCTGTGTTCACATAATCCAAATATTCCAGCAGCTCCTTCAGAATTATACTGTACTCATTACAGTAAGCACTAAATTCCCTTCCTTTATTCTGGTTCTATCAACTAGAAAGACTTTAAAGTCAAAATCTTTAATAATTTTCTTTAATTTTCTCCTTCCACAGAATATAAATCAGAAGAGTGGTGGCATTAGAAATAGAAAGAGATGGCACCAGGAACAGGATGGAATGAGAATACAAAGGTGTTAAACAGGAGGGCAGTGAAATAGGAGAGCTTTAGCTCTTGAGGACTATTCAAAATGCTAAGACTTCTCATAAAATGAGAACATATATTTAAATTTAAGCAACAAAAAATACATTCCAAAATATATATTTAAATTTATTCAAAACAGTTCCTTCTCCAGCAGTACAACTAATTAAGAACTGTTCTAAAACTAAAGCTAACTATATTATTGTACCAGAAATGAAATTCCTTTGTAACTATGTAATTGTCCACAACTATGCTTTTAAAAAATCACATTGATAAACTAGTTATGCCAAGAAGATGTACAGCATTTTATTTATTTTGTACTTGGCCATTAGGCATTTTTATTTCAACCAATGAGATTCTAACAAAAACTGTTTCTGAATTTCATTTCTGATTTCACTATTGATACTTAAATAAAAATGCATGTTTTATACCATACCTATCCTTGATCTGTCTGGCAGCCTTGGAGCAAATCAGGGAGAAGAGAAAGAAGGTAGTTAGTGCTTTTCATGCAAGTTTCAATGGCAGTGACATGCAAGAAAAGTTAGGATATAAACCCTGCAACAGATTAGTTCATATTCACCAACAGGTAAATTACAGGAAATCTGCATAGTTGACATAAGGTTGCATAATGTGATGTTAGAACTATAATAAAATATCCAAACCACATATAAATCACCTTAAAAAGCAAAATTTAATTGTTTGAACTAATTCCAGATGACTATAAATATTTTTCTTACCTTAAGATTATCAAAACATACCTCCCCATTCATTTAGTCAGCTAGAAAAATCAACCTACTGCATGGGATACACATTCTATTTATCCTGATGGTTTTCTCATACATGTCAGATCTGCTCTTGAATTTTTCTTCAGATTTCTTTCACTACTTCATAATGGTTGTTCCAACATTTCTGTACATGCCTTACCAGACAAGAACTTTATTTTCTGAGAGATTGCCTGCTAATACATAAAAAACAGGCTACAGTCTACAATACTCTGCTCCAAAGAATGAAGCTGTAATGCTAGAAATTCAGAGACCAGAAAAATACTTCTAGCAGTGGAGTCTTACTCTCATATGATTTCACAGAAGCTGCCAACTTAAACCTATTATACATAAGAAATGACTTCTATTCCTAGGAAGGGTACACAGCTACTACTTGGTACTGCACAGCTAGAAAAACACATATAAAACTGTTGTCCTTTTACATTTATAGATAATATAGCATCAAAATTTTTTCTTCTACACTAGTCAGCATAGTTAATATATCTGATGAAGAAAATGCTATTCTGATGTACCCTTTGAACTCAGTACTAGCAAAATACTTGATATATGGTAATGCATAATTATTACATTTAATTGATGTTAATTAAATGTATATACCAATACTTTTGTGACCTCTCCTATTCAGTTTTAACACTGTTTCTACTTTCTATTAGTCATTTTTAGGCCTACCTTAGAATATCTTGGTTTGCGCATCTTTCAACACAAAAGAACAGAACTAAGATTGAACAAATCAGATTCAACAAATCAACTATTCTGAGGGTGCTTCAAAACATTCATGGAAAAATAGAATTAAAAAGTGAGTTTATTTTGGTGAAAAATAAACTTTGAAATCATACATATGCAGACATGCAGGGTCTTCAAAAAGTTCATAGAAAAATGGGCAAGCATTGTGGATCAGTGACTTACACCACCATTTCTGACACTCACATCTCATCAGAGTGCCAACTGGAATACTGGCTATTCTGCTTCTGAACCAGTTCCCTTTTAATGTTCCTAGGAAGAAATGGATGATGCCTCAAGTTACTTGAGTTCCTACTACCCATGTGGGAGGCCTGGATGGAGTTCCTGGCTCCCGGTTATAGCTGGGCCTAGTCCCAGCTACGGTGGCCATTTGCGGAGTGATCCAGCAGATGGAAGAGCTCTCTCTTTCTTTATCATTTTACTTTTCAAATAAGTAAATAAATACATCTTTTAAAAAAAAGTAAAAAGAAAAATCAGTATTATGAAAATTTCTTGCACCAAAATAAACATTTTTTTTTTTTTGACAGGCAGAGTGGACAGTGAGAGAGAGAGAGAGAAAGGTCTTCCTTTGCCATTGGTTCACCCTCCAATGGCCGCCGCGGCCGGCGCACTGCAGCCGGCGCACCGCGCTGATCCGATGGCAGGAGCCAGGAGCCAGGTGCTTTTCCTGGTCTCCCATGGGGTGCAGGGCCCAAGCACCTGGGCCATCCTCCACTGCACTCCCTGGCCACAGCAGAGAGCTGGCCTGGAAGAGGGGCAACCGGGACAGAATCCGGCGCCCCAACCAGGACTAGAACCCGGTGTGCCGGCGCCGCTAGGCGGAGGATTAGCCTAGTGAGCCGCGGCGCCGGCCCAAAATAAACATTTTAATTTCACTTATTCATGAACTTTTTCAAGTACCCTCGTGTTACATAATTCCAGAACTCTAATTAGAAAACAGATTAACTATTTTTTAAAATTTTTTTCTCCCTAAGCAGAAAGTTGTCCAAAAAATACACATTACTATAGCTTGATACCTGTGAGTTTCAATTTCAAGAGTGGTGAATTATTTCCCAAAAAATCTTTTAGTAAGTATTAACTGATCCAGGACATACCACTGCTTGTCATCAACACATTTACTTGCATGTGCATAATGCACCTGGTGAATTATGAGGAAGCCTCAGGGAATGACTAGAGGTAGTCTTAGATTCTGGTACTATACATTACCAGAAAGCCTCTTAGAAGCATTAGTTACATTACTTTGCTCACCATCATTGATTTTAATCACTTACTGAAATCCTGTTTGCCAACACTTCATTTCTATTCGTATTAGGAATGGCTCTTCTCACTCTCATATTTCTTCCCACCCTTCCCTCACTTCCCTCATTCCTCCCTCCCTCCATCTCAGTTAACTGTTTGTTTTTTGTTTTTTTGTTTTGTTTTGTTTTGTTTTGTTTTTGCCAGGCAGAGTTAGACAGTGAGAGAAAGAGACAGAGACAGAGTTATAGACAGTGAGAGAGAGACAGAGAAAGGTCCTCCTTCCATTGGTTAATTCTCCAAAAGGCTGCAATGGCCAGAGCTGTGCCGATCCAAAACCAGAAGCCAGGAGTTTCTTCCTGGTCTCCCATGGGGGTGCAGGGGCCCAAGGACTTGGGCCATCCTCCACTGCTATCCCAGGCCACAGCAGAGAGCTGGACTGGAAGAGGAGCAACCGAGACTAGAACCCGGCGCCCATTTGGGATGCTGGCGCCGCAGGCAGAGGATTAACCTAGTGAGCCACAGCGCCGACCCCTATCCTTTAATTTTTAAGTCACAGAAATCTGCCACTGGCAACAAGAATCCTTAAGCAGAACTGTAATAAAAGTATAATGTAGGAATAATCAAAAGTAGTTCTTCATAACTGTCAATTAAATATAAAAAAGTCAAGGGGCCAGCATTGTGGCATGGTGGATTAAGCAGTCGCCTAAGATGCCAGCATCCCATATGAGGGCCAGTTCAAGTCCACTTCCAATTCAGCTCCCTGATAATGCACCTCAGAAGGCAGTGGATGATAGCCCAATACTTGGGGCCATGCCACCTGTGTGGAAGACCCAGATGTAGCTCCTGGATCCTGGCTTGGGTCGGTCCCAGCCCTGACCATTGGGGTGAATTGGAGAGTGAGTCAGTGGTTACCAACAGCTGGAAGATCTCTCCCTTTCTCTCTGTGTTTGTCTCTCCCTCTCTCTGTGTAACTATGCCTTTCAAATAAATAAATAAACCTTAAAAAAAAGTTGGGGTCAGCATTGTGGCATAGTGGGTGAAGTCATCACCTGCAATGCTGGCATCCCATGTTTTGTGTCCTGTTGTTCCATTTCCAATCCAGCTCCCTGCTAATGGCCTGGAGAAGGCAGCAGAAGATGGTCCAAGTGTGTAGGTCCTGCCATGAATGTGGCAAACCCAGATGAAGCTCCTGGCTCCTGGCTTCAGCCAGGCCCAGTTCTGGCCATTGCAGCCATCTGGGGAGTAAACCAGTGGATAGAAGACCTCGATCTCTCTCTGTCTCTGTCTCTGTCTCTCCCTCTCTGTAACTGTCAAATAAATGTATCTTTTAAAAATTTTAAAAAAAAATAAGTCAAACCAGAACTTTTTCCAACCTCCCTCATCTTTGATCTAAAATGAGTGGATGTAATTTTTATGAAGAACTATTATCTTGGGGCCGACAACGTGGCAAAGCGGGTAAAGCCACCGCCTGCAGTGCCAGCATCCTATATGGGTGCCGGTTCAAGTCTGGGCTGCACCTGTGTGGGAGACCTGGAAGAAGCGCTTGGCTCCTGGCTTTGGATCAGCGCAGCTCCAGCCGTTGCAACCAATTGGGGAGTGAACCAGCGGATGGGAGACCTCTCTCTACGCCTCTCCTTCTCTCTCTGTGTAACTCTAAATTTCAAATAAATAAATAAATCTTTAAAACAAACAAACAAAAAGGCCGGTGCCGTGGCTCAATAGGCTAATCCTCCCCCTTGCGGCGCTGGCACACCAGGTTCTAGTCCCGGTCGGGGTGCCGGATTCTGTCCTGGTTGCCCCTCTTCCAGGCCAGCTCTCTGCTGTGGCCCAGTAGTGCAGTGGATGATGGCCCAAGTCCTTGGGCCCTGCACCCCATGGGAGACCAGGGGAGGCACCTGGCTCCTGCCATCGGATCAGCGCAGTGCGCCTGCCGCAGCGCGCTGGCCGCGGCGGCCATTGGAGGGTGAACCAACGGCAAAAGGAAGACCTTTCTCTCTGTCTCTCTCTCACTGTCCACTCTGCCTGTCAAAAAAAGAAAAGAAAAAAGAACTACTATCTTTTGTGAATTTATCAAGCACTCTGATTTTAAGCATCTTATTGTTTTTATATTTCTTCTTAATATTATTATTTTTCTCTTTTTATACAAAGATAGAGAGAAAATGAGTTTCAAAATGTTATTTTCCTTTAGTAAAAAAAAAACCAGCCTTCCAAAAAAAATCCCAAATAGCCTATCAATTGAGGCCATACATTAGAAGTTTTACATTTTCTCTACATAGATTTATCTGCTTATAAAAATAACATTTTTTAAAGAGTATAATTTAAAAGGCTTTCCCACACAGTACAGTAACTAATTTGAAACAAACTTTGAAATACAATACTGCAAATGTCTGCTTTATGACTAAGTACATTTATATAATGGGAGAAGGTATTTCTGTAAGACAAACATACACAAATGAAATAAAGGTAAAAAATTATAGTTTGAGCTATGCTTAACAAACAGCTTTGTTTTTAAAAAGCCTTCAAATCTTGCCGGTGCTGCGGCTCAATAGACTAATCCTCCACCTAGCAGCGCCGGCACACTGGGTTCTAGTCCCGGTCGGGGCGCCGGATTCTGTCCCAGTTGCCCCTCTTCTAGGCCAGCTCTCTGCTATGGCCAAGGAGTGCAGTGGAGGATGGCCCAGGTGCTTGGGCCCTGCA